CAAAACAAAAGCAAGAGCTCTGTAGGCATTCATTGCTATAGATCCATAAAGGGCCCTTGGTAAAAGTGCCTGACTCCATCTGTATTAGAACTTCCATTATTCCTATAGTTGTGGAAAAGTAAATCTCAGTTTTGCTAGACTGGCTCTTAAAATGGAGAAGCTTACAGCAGGGTAGCGCCTCCTAAACTTTGTTTACCTTAGCAAAGGTCACACTTGCTCATGATTGTGTTGTCCTCCTACAGAAATAAAGTCGGGCTTCCTCTGCTGCTTCCCTTCATCACCTGTTCAACTCAACAGATTAAAATTGAAGTCTTCTAATCTGCCTGTGATTAACTCTTTGCAATTCTACTTTTTAAAGTAATTTAAGAGACACTGGCATGATACTCAGTAAAGCTGTAGTTGTATCTGAATTTTTTAGTTTGATTGATTGCAAGCTTTTTAACACTTCTCACATTTTTAAATTTGGTAATATACTTTTTCTCTCTCCCCTAAAATTAAACTTCATCGAATTCAGTCTAGATTTGACACTTGCCAATCTAGAATTTATATCAGAGGACTGAAAGAGGAGGTCTCTGAATTAAGGATATGTCTGCACTACAGTGGCACAGCTTTGAGTCTGCAGCTGTGCTGCTGTAACAGCATAGTGTAGATGGCTCCTACATCGACAAGAAGGGGTTTTTCCTGTTGTGTAGTTCATCCACCTCTAAGAGAGGTGATGACTGGGTCTACAGAAGAAATCTTCTGTCGACCTAGCTGCTTCTATGCTGGGGATTAGATTGATTTAAATGAAGAGAGCTGGCTGATGGAGTTAGTAGTAGGAAAAGAGGGCACCCAAACTGCGTTAATACTCCCTGAACTAGATGTAATGCTTTCCTAATATTTCTCTTTTGTGTAAGCAATTGCTGTAACTGCCACATTGTTTGTAAATTATGAATGGACTCAGAGGTGGCCTTAAATACGAATAGGAGGGTGTCCATCATTTATCTCAAGATGGGAGGAACAAGGAAAGTTTGAGAAACCGTGTTCATACAAAGCAACAGAGAGTCCTGTGACACCTTTAAGACTAACAGATGTATTGGAGCATAAGCTTTTGTGGGTGAGTGCCCACTTCGTCTCGTCAGATGTATACATAGGAAAGTAGCCTAACAATAAGGGCTTGTCTAAAGAGTGTTTTTTATACCATTTCACTCTGCCTAGAAACCAAGATAGTTAAATCAGTGTAACTCCCTAATGGGGCAGCAATTATACTGATAGTTATTCATATTGGTATAACTTATTTTGGCAAATATGTCAAGAGCTCTTCTGGTGGCCCCTTACAAATGGCAGGTATACTTGCAGACAATCTAAATAAGCATCTCTCTTTTTACAAAAAAAAAGGTAGCTGAAATTCAAAACTCATAAATCAGGGAAACCAACTTTCAAACAGTGCTTAACTCTGCCTCTTGCCCATGTGCAGAATTTTATATTGCTGTTCTGTACGATTAACGTGCAGTGTGGAGTTAATAGGGGAATTGTGACTGAATCTTATGTGGCTAATCTGACATTCTGGATGACTTACAGCTTGGGTTACTTTTTTTATAAGACAAGGTGGTGGAAGTTACTATTTTTTAATTTGAATGTACAAACTAACTTGAGGTCAAACAAATAGATTCTGGTTCTGAACTCCTTTCCTGCTGGAAGTTAGTTTGTCAGCTGTGCATGTGGAACTGAAAATTGAAGAGACTTTATCCCTTAAAGAATATGCTGTGAAACATGAGGATGTATGTACTGTGCTCAGTTTAAGAGTTAGTGTCTCTTGTTCACTTGGTTTCAGCAGTAATGGATGAGTGTATCGTGTTCTGAAAAAACTAGTCCATTACACCTTGAGACACACATTCTCAGGATAAACTTCCCAAAGCTACCATATATGCTATTCAGGCACATACGCTACCATAAACTTAGCTATTGTTGCTTCTTGACATCTCACATTTCCCTTTTAGGCAAGAGCATTAGACCTTTGCGATGTGTAGTAACAAAGGGAGTAAAATTAAGCAGGGGACTGAACCTTTGAGCAGCTAAAGTTTCACACTAAAACATTTGTGTACAAACATGAATTTCTACTGCATTCAGTGTTGTACAGAAGGACATGTGGCAGTATTCATGGCTGCAGTCTATCACTTGTGGCTCACTTCATAAAGGCTCTCAGCAATGTGAAAGAGTTAGGACTCCTTAAATGAGACTAATCTAGGAAATATGTCAAGATATTTAGGAAGTCTGTAGTTATTTTTGCAGACTTGCCTTGTTCTTCCTTACTTGCTAACTTCCTGTTTTATGAAGTCTTAAGACTTTTTTTAAAAAACTAGTCCCTTTGTGCCCCTGACTTAGGGCTGGTCCACACTAACCCCCCACTTCGAACTAAGATACGCAGCTTCAGCTACGTTATTCACGTAGCTGAAGTCAAACTATCTTTGTTCGAATTTACCACGGGTCCACACGCGGCAGGCAGGCTCCCCCATCGACTCCGCGTACTCCTCTCGCGGAGCAGGAGTACCGGCGTCGATGGCAAGCATTTCCGGGATCGATTTACCACGTCTAGACAAGACGCAATAAATCGATCCCAGAAGATCGCTTGCTTACCGCCGGACCCGGAGGAAAGTATAGATGTACCCTAAGGGTAGGTCTACACT